GTGAAGATTACAAATCTTTTATATTAAGTAAATGTTGACGGCACGAGCCGATAACAAAACTTTAATTTTATAATTTTTTTTCACTTTTCATAAGAAATGTTAAACTCCGCACTCCGTTATTATGTATACTTTAATTGTCGAAAAGGATTTTTTGATATCTATAATCAACAAAAAGATTTTGCATAATAACGTTTTTATCGGTAAAATAGACCTTTTGGGATCCCCTTAACGACGCGACTTTACCTTGGGAACGTAATTACTGCTTTGGCCACTACTACGGTATGGCGCTGAAACCAGTGAGAAATGCTGGTCTCGCCTTTATCCGGGCCTTTGGCTATCTGTCTATTAATCTGTGCTATTCCCCTTCCATTTATATATGTTCTAAGGAACGCACGCATCGAGAACCGCAAATCGCAAGTATCTATCTCGATTCTCGATTAGTCCAACATGGCCGCCGGTCGACTCAGAGTGAGGTTACTTTGGAGGTTATTTCGATACGCTCAGCAACTGTCAAACGAGACGTGAGACGTGACACGACGTGATTCGCGAGTGAACTGAACATTCAACTCGCGATTCCGTGATACCGCAGTCAAAATGGGGATCTTCTTCGCAAAGAAGAAGCAACCGAGTCGTGTTACCGAGCAGGACAAAGCAATCCTGGTAAGGAATTAAGCCTTTCATCATCACGTTACATTTAAATTTACTAAATTATTCTTTTATCAATGATCGAATTTGATTTTACCTGTGAACTGTTAATAGTTATTTGATTAGCGATATATTAGAAATGAAACGTGATGTTGGACATGTAATAAATATAAATATAATATTTACATAGTATATATTATAACCTCGAAACTGTCAAAGTTGCACACTGTCATTTAATTCTCCGTATTTATGCAGCAAGTGAAACAAGTGAGAGATAAAATTAAACAGTACCAGAGAAAAATTGAACAAAGTTTAGAGAAAGAACGATTACTTGCAAAAGAACTTTTGAAAAATGGCAAGAAAGAGTAAGTACTTTATTATTTAATATTATACATTTTTTGGATTATTATATTTATTTGTATTGTCAATTTTATATATATATGTAAAGCATTGTATATAAGCTTAACATATTTGCAATTGTTTACTGTAAGTTTTATGTTTGATTATAATGCATATTGATAACTTATTATATCTTGTAAAAACTTGTCAATTTTTAATCTTTTTTGCACATTTTTGCCTAATTAATATTATATGATATAATGACATAGAATCGAGTTTTGTATACTTTGTATTATTTTGCAATTCATTATTCTTACAGCCGTGCATTGCTTTTGTTGCGCAAAAAGAAATATCAGGAACAAGTTTTGTTACGTGCAGACGGCCAGTTAGAGAATCTTGAGCGTTTGGTTCATGATCTGGAATTTGCTCAAGTTGAAATGAAAGTTGTTGATGGCCTAAAAATTGGTAATACTGCATTAAAACAGCTACACGATTTGCTGTCTATTGATGAAATTGAAAAAATAATGGATGAAACAAGAGAGGGTATTGAAAAGCAAAGAGAAATAGATGAAATGTTGTCATTAACATTCACTGCAGAAGACAATATCGATGAAAACGAAATCGAAACAGAATTAGATGCGTTGTTGGAAACAGAGATCAACGAGAAGGCTCCTGAAATACCAAAGAATGTTATACTACCAGATGTGCCAAAGGATTTGCCAGAGGAGACTGAAAAACGTACAAAAGAAAAAATTCAGGAATCTATTGCAGTAACGGCATGAAAATTTCAGGAATTTTGACTGGTTTTTGCTGAATTAAGACTTATAACTATGTATATATGTACAGTGAATAAAATATATAATAATTTATAAGATTTATCTAGCAGAGTCACATACACACACAGACACACATATATATCACATATTTTTAGTTAAAACCAAAATGTCAATTTTAATAACTTAATGCATTTTAAATAATATTATTCGGTTTTTTTTTGTTGATATATATTTTATCTACATATAAAAATGTAATGATGCGAGAAAGATAAATATGTGAATAAACATAATTTTTCCATATACATATTATACTTTTAATGTGTGATTAAGAATATATATTAATTATATTATTCTTTTTTTTTATAGATGAATATTTAAGCATATATTGTGCAAAAGGAGATATTTATATAAATAGAGGTGAGACACTGGTCAATTTTCGGGAGTTTTATTTATTTTAAAAAAGTTCTCATATAGTTTTGAGCATATACATGCATTTTCTAAAAAGTTCTAATCTTTAGCAATATTAAATAATTTGTTCATTAATTGATTTCACATGAGAGGCATATTTTTTCGTATCTATATGAGATACTAGTCGAATTTGACGAGTTCTATATATTTTAAAATAGTTCTTGTATAGTATTAAGCATATTTTTTCGTTTTCTATAGAGTTTTAATTAATAGCAGTATTAAATAATTTTTTATTAATGAATTTTACTCGAGAAAGGCATTTTTTTACAAGATGAGACGTTAACAGTTTTGGTATAAAGTAGTTCTGATCATATTCCTACAATTTCTAAAGTTTTAAAATAAGGTTATTTTATGAGGCATTGTCTTCGATTTAACAGTTACAGAAAATTAATTATTTAAATTATCAGAAATTTTAGAATTATTGATATACATATACAATGAAACTAGAACTTTAATTATTTATGAATATCTATGAAATAATACGCCAACATCACACATATAAATTGTAGATATTATTGGTTCAATTTAACAGGAATTAAAAAATGAATATTATAATTTATCTAACAATATAGGTTTTAATTTTTTTGTCTTGTGTAACTATCTCGATATCATTTTTTAACTTATATCCCATTTAAAAAATCAACTTTAAAGAGATACATTTTTTAAAATATTTAATTATAAAATGTCAATTAAAAATTATATTATTTATTTATATGCTATTTATTAGTTTTTATATTTTACTATATTATTTTGTATACATTTAAAAAAAATTTATTATCATTAATATGAGTTTCATCACATGAAGGGATATAAGTCAAAAATATATATAAATGTACTACAAGATAATCTAATAATCATTTTTATTTGTTAATATAATATTTAATGCATTATAATATAATGATTTTAACTTTACATGATGGCATAAGTTTGTTATATATAATCTAATTATAATCAATTTAAATATATATTTAATATCTGAATTCTATGCAATTTTTTACAAGTCGTTAACATATTATTATATTTCATGAATTGTATACGTTATACGTAAACTCGACAAGTTGCATTAATTTAGCTTTATTGAAATATATTATTTCCATGCTTAAATTAATGCAGTACGAATGATATACATATGTTGTTTTTATCTTATGTTAAGCTCGGATTCGTGATAAAGATCTACAAGCATGGTAAATACTGTTTGTCAAGTGAGATCGATCTGTTTGTTTAGATATAACTATATTTTTTAGTCAATAATATGTACGTGATTTTCCAGCTGAAACATTTTAGTCAGGTGATAAGGTTCGCCACTACAAGGCCACTGTATCGCTTCTTTCTAATGACAATATGAGTATAAGTTATCTTGACCAGTATTGCAAATATTTGCAAGAGTTTAAATTTTCCACTCACTCGATGTGTACGAAAATTTGGTAAATTATGCACATTACATGAAAATTGCGGAATAACTAATATAAAATATTTTAGATTTCTTAATTTTTGAAACTAATGTGTTTTTCTATTTCAGTATTTTCCTTTTTTCATATATTAGCATGATAATTTTCTCGTCTATATTTTATATTATTTTAATAATTCGTTTGAATCTTTCATCATAAGATAAAAGCTTCTTGATTATAAAATAATAATTTTTCAGTAATATTTTACAATCGTAAAGCTGTCAACTATATTATGCGACTGGATTTATCTATATTACTTGTACCATGAAATAATAACACCTTCCATTTGAAACTCAGATTTATTATTATTTACATTGTATATATGCGTGATTTTATACCCCGAAATAACGAAAAATGTTGATCTTGCTATCGTATTGCGCATTTGTCGCCAACAGTTTTATTAAAATGCGCATAATGTTATATGTACACAGAGACGTGAAGGTTTTGCCAAGATAGAGGACACTCAATATATCTTCGTATCCACAATGATTACCAATTGCATGTTTGGAAGCGTCTTCTTTTAAAGCCGAGACGATTACGAGACATCGATAATACATTCTAATTTTTTTTATAAACGCTGTGGCGCCTAGATGCCGCAAAACAGACTTCTATCATTAGCATAAAGTAATAATGCTTTATAATTTTAATCCAGTTATTAGATCGTTTAGAAGAGAGTTTGTTAGATATATAAAGTTTAATTATTTTATACATAATTTTATTTTTACTTATATAAGCCAGAAATTTTACATACTAGTGGCTAATTTTATATCTAGTCAACATTTATACGAAATATTTTTATACATCAAAGTCAATGAGCTAAGTAATTGTAAAAAGCTGTAATTATAAAAAATTGCATAAGCGATACTAGCTGCATCCAGCTGCTGCATACGTAAATATGTTTGAGAAGTAATGCAAGAATAAATAATGAAAGAAATGATTAGTTAGAACATATTGCGAGCCAGCAGGAAGTACGAAAATCTGCAAGTATTTAAATGACGTCTACACGAAGATGAATGGTTCCGCATTTAAAACCTGGTGGCCTTGGTCAATGAATAAGATTAAGAGAAAGGGAGAACGCGTGAGGATCGATAATCTTACGCACAATTTGTTTGACAATGCTGCTTGTTAATCTAATATTTTACAAATGAGTAACAATATATCATGTGATACGAATATAGAAATAGATTCTGTAAACGGAAGACATAATTTAACGATAATATTAAACGAATTAATAATTTATTAAACATGAGAAATGCTCTTTGAAACATCATAGATACTTCTCTCAATCATTTATACAGATTATTTACATATAAACACACTATTTTTTTAATATTATATAGGTTTTGTTATAATTTATGATAAAAACAATTTATAATTTATAAACGTGTGTGAGTGATGAAAATTTTGTAAATTGTAGAAGTTTATAAAACAAGAGAAGTAATGAAGAGTATTGTCAAGTGTTTAACATTCTCGATTGAAAAAATATTTTCCTCTAATCATTTTTTTCCTTCTAGCTATAAAAACATTCATGCAATCGAGAAGCGGCTGATCTATAAATGTGTCTTCTATAAATAGAGAATCGTTCGATTGCTTAATTTTTCCATATTAGTCAGATCGTAGTTTTCAGAATCATTGTGATGTCATTGCCCGAATACATCGATGATATCTTTCATATCACAGAAAGCCACTTGGGAAAAACACTTGAGATAATTAGTAGCATCAACAAGTCAGCAATCTTTTAGATTGTTTAAAGAATAGATTATAAAAAAGAGAGATTATATATGTATGTACGATTTGAAGTATTTACACGGACTGAAGTATTATTGAACCATATATTTTGTAAGTTTTATCGCCAAGATATTACCATCAGTATAATCCTAAAATTGTCCGAAATATCTTTTTTCTCAATTGCCGAGGTACTGATTTATTTCTACTTTATTTTTAAGCCAAATTTTTCAAAAAAAAATTTTTTTAATTTATTCTTTGATTTTTGAAATTCATTGTTTTTGTGTTTTTTCTCCATAAAGTTACATAATATAAACACAGAATATTATGTAAACATAGAAATAATACTATGCAGTGAAAGCTTGCACAAGCATATATATAGTATAAATTTTTTATGTTATAATAGAAAGGGAAAGTATTATTGTTGTATAAATGTTATATTTGCAATAATAATATTAATAGTGTATTGCAAAACTGCTTAATACTTTTGCATTTTCCATAGCAAAATTTTTTACGAAATTATGTTATGAGGCTTTAAAACTTTTTTCTTCAAAATCATAAACATTTTATGCAATTAAGTTCATGTTGCGATTAATGTGCTAAAAATATTTTTGCAGTGGCAAGGACACTAATTTAGTTATTATTTCAATTTTAATTACCACAAGTGAGACACAAATCATTATCTTTTATCTGAATAATGAGTGAAATTATCTTTAGGTAAGAGTCCAAATCGTTTCATGAACCTCGCACTTATTATTCTCATCTTGACAATTTCCGCTACGAGCGATTTGCGATATAGATATTAGATAAAAAAACAGCATTTGATATCTATCGATTCACAAAATCAGTTTATCGATAAATTATAAATAGATCATAGACAGTTTTTTTTAAAGCTAATTCTTTGGATATTTACCTGTTGCAATTTCGATCGTTACGCGCCTTTTCACTTTTGACATAAAAAGCATACAATATGCACATTGAATATGCATGTTTCATTAAGATCTCATAAACCAGTTGTTTTTTATCTTTCTGAATTTTATTATCAATTAAAATATTGATTTTTATCTTTCCCGCATACATTAATTTGCTTTTACTGCTAACAAAAATCTCGTCAATCTTTATATAATTTATTTTTTTGGAACACCATATTCAGATAAGTTCAGTTGTCTATACTTTGTCTAATATCTTTATAATAGAATTTGTGTACACACGCATACACACACACACACACACACATACACACACACACACACATGTTTTTTCTTAAAAGTATAAACTTTTTATAGTATTTATATCTTAAGTATCTTGTAATAATAAAGTTTTCAAGTTTATTTAAATGATGCGATAGTAAGAACTAATAAAACATTTACTCCATCAAATTTCGGAACTTCGAAAATTTGGCCAATATTCAAATTTATACAAATTTTTTTTGACAACATAATAATTTGAATT